GCAACTGTTGGTAAACAATATTATGGCAAATATAATACGTCGCGGTGCATTTTTATGAGACCAAAGTTGTTTAAAATACGTAATCTTCTTGGTGTTTGTCGGATTTAACGACCGCATTTGAGAACCAATAATTTGAAACTTCGATGCATATGCATCATTCTAGAATCCGATTTAAGTAGTACGGATCGTTTTAATATATTCATGCACGTATTTTGATCTTTACAAATTGGTGTTTTTTTTTTTAAACTCCTCCTATCTGAATGGATAATTGCCCCACGGAGTTGATGTTCATATCATTTCGAATAATTGCCGACAACGACTCGGTCAATTAAGAACAGATGTCTAATTCGTTATCTCGCCATGTTGTTGGCTTACTGCTGAGTACAAACAAACGTGAATAATGGACGTAATTAATTTGATTTTTTCGGTTTTGGAGTTGAGGTGCCCGTTGTTACGGCTTTCACATTAGCTGTTGACGCGAATAAACAAATCTTCTCTTGTAGAAAGCGAAAACGAGCTTTGCCAAATAAAAGGAGTGAAAAAAAATGGCGCTAACAATAAGACTGATGATGTGCGTGTGTGTTTATGTAGATATCCGCTTTATTTATTTATATATTAATAGCAATTATAGAGCAACTCAAATTACGACAGGAGTTCGTCAAAAAAGAATAACGGCATATTAGAATATAATCGATAACCAAGCCGATGATACGCGAAGTAAAAACGATCTCACTGCAAGGTTATAGAAATTCTGTTCCTAATAAGCTTTTTAAGGCATCCAGATTAGTTTTAAGAAAATATATTTCAACATTTTATTCCGTTTATAGACAAAAACAGTTAACCAAAAATAAAATAAAATTAATTTCATCTTCAAATCCAAATCAAAATCAAGAGTTATATAATAAAATAAGTGATAACAAATTCTACAAAGCCTGATGATGAATATCAATTATTAATAAACGTTTTCGATAGAATTTTTCTACGCATTAAAGGAATACTGGCCTGTTACAGCCTTTTTTTCATTGGAGTGAACTTTGATGATGCACTCGCCATTTTACTAAAATTGTTATTACTGTTCACCTACTATAAGTTATCGGCACATGCTAAAAATTTGTATGCACCATATGCATGTTTATGTTCATGACCTACCCGTGAAATATTGCCCAATTAATATGATTCTATAGGTTAATTTTCTAGATACGCCATTAAATTTGTTCTTACTCAACAGAATTCCCAATTTTATTACCCCGCACTATTTTGAAACAGACTTTAAACGATTTAGGTACTCCTACAACTGGTCTAAGATTTTTTTAAACAAAGTTTTTGACATCGATATTTAATAGTCAACCAGCACTACTCAAGATTGTCGTTTGTACACAACATTATCTATATATTTATTAATTTATAATTGGTATGTATGGTTTTTGAATCGTCCAAATGATATTTAATCTTTTCTAAGTATCTGATTTTTAATCTCCAATAAACCATTCAATCCTGCAGCCAGTTCGTTTCAAAGTTTATTACGTAGTCTCGAATCGACAGTCGCCTGGAGAAATAGTAAAATAAATATCGATCTGGTTTTGCTTTGTCATTGTAAAACATCGCAAAAATCTACACGAGCCGCATTTAAGTAATACAATCAATCCTGATATGTTAAGTCATGTTTTCAACATTTTGTTATATGTTGTATATTCTTATCCTGCTATGATATACGATTTTTTGAGCAATTTATACCTGTGCGGGGTATTTATATATTTTTGACCAAAAAATTTCACTGTTTTTTATGTTTTCTTTTCGTATTGAATAAACATTCGAGAACTTGACATTTTCGAGATAAAAAATAAAAGAGCGAACGTATTTTAATTAAAACCATTTAGCCATCACAATGGCATACGAAAAAAAAAACTCCGTAGAAAGAATTTTGAAAGAAATACAACCGATAAAAAAAATTGCTCGCATGTTTGATGGAAAATTTTATTTATGATAATACAATGTTCAATCATCAACGTGCAGGTATCTTAAAATCTATATTTCTTTATATAGTAACATGTCAAAGAAATTGTTTTTTTTTGGTTTGTTATGTATTTGCATTAATTTGCATTATTTCGTGGATGTTGTGTATGATTTTCTCTCATCAATCGGGGATTATTTGCACTTCTCCAATACCTACAATTTTGTTTATTTACCATACCGTACTCATGGCTCAAAGTTAGAGTTATGGTATGTTACATGATTTGTGCTTGAAATCTGACATATAGTTCGAAAGTGGATTTAAAAAAAATAGAGTTTCATTTAAAAAATGGAACTTGCACATTTGCATTTTGACTCACTCTGTATATTTTCTATTTACTGCAAAAAATACGCAAGAAATATAATAGATGCGTGCGAGCATTTGTTTTGACTTGCAATACCTGCTTTTCAAATAAATTTGTTGCATATTTTTGCCGTTCACTGTATTTGTTTATATAGGAACCCTCAACTAAAATGCCTTTTTAACAAATTGCATAGATTAATATGTATGTGTTAGATAGTAATTTTTAAAAGACTGTCAACATTTTGTCAGATTTTGAGATTTAGAAGTTTTTTGATTTTTGCTTTTAGCCCAGCAATTTTAAAAGCTAAGGCCGTTTGTATAACAGATGGAAATGACTAGTACAATTTTTGTTGTGTTAACTGACTGGTCAATTGACCGAGATAATTTTAAAAATTCCATGAAAGAAATATACATAGAATTATCGATCTTTTCAGTGAACAATATGTCACAAAACAATCAGCAATTAATCACAGATGAAAATTTGGTTACTACTAATAAACGTTCTATTTTTCTTAACTCTGTTGTAGAAGATGAAATTAAAAATTTAATACTATCCTTAAAATCTGATTCGACGCCGGGGTTTGACAATCTTCTCTATTGCAAAAAAATCATATCCATAACATAAAGCCAGTCTGCCAAATTATTAACTCAATGTTTACAGCTGGTAAGTGCTGGTAATATTGCTTTAATAAAACCCATTTATAAAAAAGAAGAAAAAAATATTCTTGAGAATTACAGGCCTTATATCTTATGTAACAAAAATTTTCGAAAAAGTCTTAAAAGTTCGGCTAGTTTCCTTAGATAATTTAAGACCATGTGCTGCAGTGTTCATTGACTTAGCAAAAGCATTGGATACTGTAAATACCTGAAAAATCTACAACAAATGGTAGAGATTAATATGGAATGGAAGTCCACACGGACACAGTCCTAGGAGCCATATTTTTCCTTATATACATAAATCAACTACTTACTTCCGATAAAATCATCTCTTTTACTGATGTTACAGTTTTGTTTGTTGAAGGTAACAATTGGGACGAAGTCACAGTCACAGTGGCATGACAATAATTTACTAACAATCAACTTAGATAAAACACAATAGTTGTCCTTTTGAATTTATAATGATCGACTACCTACAAACAATAAACTTCCTATAAAACTATTGTTTAGAAACAGATGCTGGTCTTTACGCAGAACTGAGCATTTTACCTACCTAGGAATTCATATTGACTCAAATCTAAAACTTCCATATCGAACAGTTAGTGAAAAAGTTAAGTTCCTTAATGTATTTATTCCGGCAATTTGCTAAAATATCTGATACAATCCCTTATATCTTATGGAATAACTGCTTGGGGTGCCGCTTATCACACAACTCTTCAACCCCTTAACTTAATACAGAAAATAATATTGAAAATTATATTATAAATCACCCCTTTTGTTCTTAATAAAAAATAAATTACTGGTTAATTCAAAAACTCACGAGTATGAAACACGCTTTAAACTAGGAAAAAATTTAACTTTACAAAAAATGCATTTATCTGTTGGACAAAAAAAATTACTTTTATACTGGTCAAGAAATTTATAACGCACTACCTCCAGAACTGTAAAATAAAATAAAATTAAAATCATTAAAAAAAAATTAACTAAGTGGCTTATTCTTGGTAAATTGTAACTTAAGTTTCTAAGTGGCTATTTGTTATAAGTCAAATTCACAAATTCTTTAATGTATTGTAACTATATAAAATAGTTTCTTTTTTTTTGGTAGATGATTTAAATAATAATAATAATAATTATTATTATTATTATTATTATTATTATTATTATTATTTATATTTTGCGTTACTTCGCCGTCGCGTGGTTCTGGGAACCTAATTTAGTCGATAATATTATTCGGATTCCCTGAATCGTCAAGTATCATTATTCGGATATTCCTTGAATAGGGTTATATGTAAACTGGACATCACAAAGGCATAATAGTTTAATATAAAATACATATTATTGTAAAATAATGATAAATAGCACTTTACAATTGCAAGATGCTATTTAAAACATTTTTTGACTAGTCAATTAAATAGTGGTCAATTGACCAGTCCCAACACTAGTTATTATAGTAGTTTTACTTTGTACGTTAATCGGCATTCTTGCAACTATTTCGTAATTTTTGTAAACTCTGCGACATATTGGAGATTACAAAGAGATAATAAATAAATACATCTCCTGCTACTTTATTGCTTGCCCTTATCTTTATTTATTTATTTTTTTTTGCAAATATTCTTTTTTCTAATTCTTGTTGCTCTATGATTGGTCTGTTCCATGCTATCTGTTAAGCAACCTCGTTTGTATAAATAATTAACTCAATTTTAGATAGCCACATTACGGGAAAAATGAATGAATTAGAAACACACACCGTTAAGCGTTTTGAAACCTGAATAAATTAGAAACACACAGCGTTAAGTGTTTTGAAAAATGTAGACCTCTTCCGACACGCGCCAAACACCGAAAAATATCTCTCTCGCGTGGACTTCTCTCTCCGTATATTCCTATTGAATGAAAATGCCCTTCTCCTCGTTTACGCATCGACCGCGTCGTGGCAACGTCGCGACGACGGACCCCACCGGCTGGTCGCCGCGTCGCGTCTCCTCTCTCTCCGGTCCGTCTCACCACCGCCGTCGCCGCCGCCGCCGCCGCCGCCGCGCCTCAGTGCTGGCGGGTCCCGCGGTCATGTTAACGTCGTCCCATCAGCTGCTCGTCGGTGCTTACAGTAATAATACCAACCGAACCGGGATCCATAACAACCATTGTCAATACCAATCTGTCATTTGGTATAACCAGCAGCAACAAGTGGTACCCGTCGTACCGACCACCTTGTACCATCATCAGGGAGTCGTTGGTAGATATCCCACGTCTGACGTCAGTAATAAGGATCGAAACCACCACGGGTTAGGGTTCGGGTTTACTTGGGTGCTCGGCAAGGGCGTATTATTGAGCGCCGCTCCCGCGTATGTGTTGTGGACGGTCGGCGAAGCGAGCTGCGTACCCGGTTTCGTGTTGGTACCGGCCGGCGGTGGTACCGCGGCGACCTTACAGCACCAATTCGCCGGCGGAAAGTTCTCGTACCACCGGACGAACTTTATTTTCGGCGTTTCCATTGGCATGGAGACTAGGTGGGTCTTTATGTTGTTTACGTATCTAGTTTTGGTTAGTTTTGGTAGTTTCACCACGACCGTTGGTGAAACTGACGCCCCCGCGCGCAGCTGCCGTTGGTGACCGTGTCTGCGGTTTTGACACGGAGGCGATCTGTGGGCCGGCCAAGGAGTGGCCGTTTATTAAACATTTCGTTTTCCGGCTTGTTAATTGGTAATGACGCTTAACACCGGGTGAAATATTGATTTTTTAAATTAAAGATCTTTTTTATTAAAGAAAACAGTATAATACATAACATCTGCCAAGGGAAAGGGATTATTCCTCACATTAACAATATTTGGCGCATGTATATATAAGTAGAGGTAATAGGGGACTGGCCAAATGGTAACCAGTATTTAAGAAAGTTTTTAGGTATTGTTCTCGTCATTGTTCTGCATTGATGCTATTATCTTTTTTTTGATTTTTAAAAATTATTTCTGCGCTTCATTTTGACAATGGGTTTGCTCTTTGCATAGTTTATAATGTAACAAATAATTATATTCAATTTATGCATAAATAATGGATTTAATTTTTTTTTTTAATTTGTCTCCTATTTTTGGAAAGTCAGTAAAAATGGGATTAATTTTTGTGAATCTTATTATACGAAAATAAAACCAGAAATGTTGTGGGAGGGGGGTAAAATATGGAACGACGCATATAATGAACAACCATATACTTTCAATGTTTTTTTTTTAAATATTTTTCGTCGTGTAGCACACCAGATCACCATATTTGATAGTGTCAAAAAATGGCTACGATTTGTTAGCTATTCGTATATTACGATAAATTTAATGCAAACCGTGCCATGAAAAATGGATTAAAAAAAGTTGCAATGAGCACACAGCATAAACGATATTTCATAAATAACCAAAAATTGTTAATTCGATTTTTATCAAAAAAGTTTTTTTTGTAACACAAAGCTCTTGCTTTCTTCAAAAAAAAAAGTAAAAAAAAAACAAAAGAAATGCTGATTTTATTTATCGCAACTCACTTTGTTTTTTAAAGTGAGTTGGGATAAATAAAATCCGCATTTTTTTTTAGCAATTTTGCTTTCTGTTAGACAATTATTTTAAGAAAACAAAACCTCAGAAATTTTGTATTACACAAAAAAACATCCAAAAACAATCCAAACAATTATTTTGAGTTATTTATCAACCTTACTTACTGAATGAATAAAAATATTGTTAATAACTTTTTTTCTAATGAAAACGTGAAACTATATGAAAATTATATACTTTCCATACTTTCCATTGCAGCTTTCACGATTTATGGAAGAAACTAAGTTAGAAAAAAGTATTGAAAACGCAGACGTTTAAAATAACTCGCAATACCACTAACAGCAAATGCCAACCTTGAAATATTTCTGAAAATAGTCAATATAACGAAATAATCAAATGGTTTGCCTGAAATTTTCGTGTTGCCATTTCTGGCAACATCAAGGAGTATACAAAAATTAAAATACATACTAAATTACATAAAATAAAAGTGAAGAAACTTTGTTGGTATTGTAAGTATAACAATAACAATTAAGGAATTGCGCAGTTTATGTTATTATAAATGGATACAAACAGATAAGTTAAAAACTCTAAACTTTACCTTATCCGACTCTGTCAATTAAAAACGACATCATAGCCGTTTTCTTATCATCAGTATGAACGAGAATTGCTTAGAATAAAAAGTGATTGTTAAGTATTTTGAATAATCGCCCTGCTCGTGGGAGTCCAGCGGCGAGCTCTTTAGATGATTCAAACGAAAATATCACAACACCAAAAACATATTTTCGGTCTCTACATCCTTGAAATTAACATTTTCACATCTGCAAGAGCGTTAAAAATATGCGACACTTGTTTACGCTCCTTTCATTTTCACATTTGCAAATTTGCATTCCCTCTCAACAAAAAAAAAACATACGGGCCCACAGTTAAATAATTTCTTTTAGTTATGTTTTGTTTGTTAGGCCGTTAACAATGCACATGTTGTAAATCGCACCGCGGAGTAACAATAAACAATACACAAAAGAACACGAATTAACATACGAGAACAACAATTAAATTACTTCGGTATCCCGGTAAATAAAAACTATATACAATGTTGTAGGCATATTTTCATTTCCCAATATGAGAGCGGAGAAAAAGTCGTTTTGTCTTGTATTAATACGTAGCCAGCGGCCACAATTTGCATGCTATAGGAAAATGTTTGACGATTTGATTGTTTAAAGCGCCGAGCGATTCAACGCTAAGTTTTGAACTGAATATTTTTGAAAAAGATAGTTTGCCACCGCTTTTGCTAAAAATTCACATCATTATTTTAGAGTTACTTTCGTAGACGCACTTTCTTCGCAGAAAAAAAAACATACATTTCTTTCTTAGTCCAGAGACTAACTGACAGAGAAATGATTCTGAATATTTGGATAGAAAACATGATGATAAAAATTCATTTTTTTCTTAAAAATTTAGCACCCTGTAGCTCGATCGAAAAAAAAATCAGTGGAAAATAACGCGAACAAGACAATAAATAAAACATTATTATTATCTTTTATTTCAAGTGATAGTTTTCCGCTGAAAGTCTCCTTATTAAAAACAAATTTAAATAATTAAAAATGGAACTTTTCTGCCCCGGGAATTATATTTTCAAATTTGGCTCGAAAATATTCGTCAGCAACAATAAAATTCAGCAAAGTTCGACCTCTGTTTTCAATTTTATATTTTAATTCGCAAATTAAAGAAAAAAACAATGTTTTCGCCATCAAATTTTCATTTCCTCCAGGCAAGAAGACATCCTGTTACAAAAAAAAAAAAAAAAAATTACGTATTGCCACAAATTTGAGCGTCTTGTTATATTAATCTCTTTAGGTGCCCAAGTGCCCATTTTGAGTGACTGTAACTTTTTTATTTTTAAAAGTATCAAAAATAAATAAATAAAAGGTTTGCATACATAAAACAAAACACTAAAATTTTTCTGAGCCAATTTGACATATTATATATAATTATATAACACTCTTTATCTTTTATGTCACTTGTTTTCTAGACATTGATAAAAATGTGAAATTTTCAGATAATTTCGAAGAGTGCTATATCTGACAATTAAGTTATCCTTATATTTAAATATTGCACTATTGATTAATGCATATCAATTTTTCACATTGTTATTCTTATTATTACGTAGTACTGGTCTACCTAATGATCATTCACCAATACATAAAATAATACCCAAGGGACCATGAGGTCATTATTTGCATTTCTTAGAACGCAATATATAGAAGATCTACGCCTAAACATATCAACCCAAATAATGTGTTGTTGGCCTCCTCACAATGGCATGAACTTTAGTAATGAGAACATACCTTTTGAATTTAGCATTGATGACAGTTTTTTTTTCTATTCTATGACTTCTATTCGAAACAAGGCGCAACCGAAATTCGATAAATTTCGGTTGTTTCAGTATTCTGCATCGAAAAATTTGCAACCATAGAGAGGACGAGGCCGAATCCTGTCAAGGGCAACCGCCTAGCGGCGCATCTAAACATATCACTTATTTATCCGCATTTGGCAAAACGTAATGCACACACAATGTCTATTACTCATATACACGCGCGAACCTTATTAATAAACAATTATTCACAAATTACCTGTCCATTACTGGAACCAAAGTGCAAACAATATTATTGATTTAGCATTGAAATTAATAAATATTATCATCAGGACACACCATCGATATCTATGTATTAATGGCAACGCCGGCGACCCTTTCGTTCCATTTAACGGCTCCTATTTGATAATATTAATCGTTAATAGGATTAAACATAACGCAGAAAGTTCGATGTAGAATTAGTTGTCCGCTTTTTACTGGATGTTTTCAACATTTTTTTTTGAGAAAAGATACTATTTTTTGCATTATTCTCGACAGTTGATATATATATATATATATATATATATATATATATATATATATATATATATATATATATATATATATATATATATATATATATATATATATATATATATATATATATATATATATATATAATAATTTTGAAAAAATGTTTGGAAAAACAAAGTTTTTGTTGCTATGGAAACATTTAAGTTGGGGCGCGGTCGGTGTCACCAATCTCAAACGGTTAAGTGTTGGATTTTAAAAACAATGCAAAGAAAAAATACTTCTATCCAAGAAATGACATTTTTAAACATTATGGGATATTACATATAGCCGTACGGAAACTAAAAAAAAAAAATTCACCCAAGTAGACGTCCTTCTTACGTCTAGCTCACCGAATGTATAAAGTGACCCGGCAACAAATAAAACATTTTCCAGTCAAAAAGAAAAACAACTAAAAACTGGATACTGAATTCTTCAGAAAAATTAATACATTTTGGTTAGTTTTATATGCATAATCATAATAAATATATATCAAAATAATCATAAAATATGAACTCTGCTCTTGTAAGCAATTTTCTCTTCTTTCCTTTTTTAACATCTATTTCAGGTACTCAAATTAACCAATTAACCAATGTTAAATTATTTTTGGGTTTAACATATTTGATTCACCAATCTGTGATAAACAACTGATTTTTTTGTGCCTAGCATATGATATTAATAGCTTAATAATAAATAAATAAATAAATTTAAATTAATGCAGTATTTTTAAAACTAATGTTTTAGTTGTCTTTTAGCCAAATCGCACAATTCATTTGCAAAATAAAGAATTATAAACATTTTTCACATATTCCGGTTTTTTTTATGAGACATCTGACTAAACAGCAACTACTGAATTTCATTAAAAAATGTTTTTCATTTTCCCTTTAAAATTGTTGACGAAATGTTAAAATTCATTTATTAAAAGTTATATTATTAAGCAATATCTGATTTTTAGTTTGCCACCCGTTCGATTTCCTAACAAAGTTAACAATTTTGTTTCTTAAACCCAATTCGGGCGATTTAAAATAATTGCGTTCACTAATTAATCCAGCATCTGTATTCA